TTTGACATTACCTTTTTTAGGAATTCTACTTACCTTCCCCATACAGCTTTTTTTTAGGATTAAATTTGAAATGTAAATCCTTATATCAGTAGTAATTTACTTTTATTATTTATTTATTTATTTATTATTTGATTTTCATGGTAAACTATGGTCTTAGACAGCCAGACACACATTCTGTCTGAATTCTCAATATTTATAGTCTCTAGCTGATGCAGAATTCAACATCTGCAAAGAATGGTACACAGTATCTAGCAGATGCTGAGTCATTCAAGCAACTTTTCAGTGAGTAAATGCCTGTGATAAAAGAATGTTTACAAAATATAATTGTACAACACAGCCCCAGCTGCTGCTATTATGGTTACCACTGTTTACAACATAGAAATGTAAAACTGATTTTATTTTTTTTTATTTTATTTTTTTATTTCTTGGCCCTCTCCTTTCAAGGAAACATAGCGGCTACCCATCAAAGGCAACTTGGTTTCATTGTCTCTGATGTATGCAGTTTGTGGGGTGGCACTGTCCAAGTCATTTTTAAAATACATTGAGGGGATAATCATAAACTATTCTTGAATCAGCAGTTCTTGGTTGAACTGGGTAAATGGCCGAGAAGAATTTATGGGCCAGATCATGGATTTGTGGTGCATGTAGTCACAAGCAAGAGGGGAACTATGAGGTACTGTGGCATTCCAGTTTGGCTCTCTTGAAACCCACTAGTACAGAATGTATATGGGTTCTCTGTGTACTGAGCAGTGGAATAAAATTAAAGGCCATGTTTAAAACCAGAGGTGTGGTCCATTGTTTTACCCTAAATACCTGCTCCCCTAATCTACTTCCATCCTTTTTGGAAGGAAATGTGAAGGGTGGCAGCGTTTGACCCCATATGTTTACAGCTATTTTATTACTGTGCGCATCGGGTCAGATTTTAGTTTTAACTAAGACACTTGTGTGTGATTTGGGAAGAGGGATTGGTGCAAAGGGTTAAGCTGCATCAGGACCTTTGAGAGCCAGCAACCCTTACTTGCAAGTGTGCAGGTCAGAGCAGGGGCGGCTCTAGGCACCAGCAAAGCAAGCACCTGCTTGGGGCAGCCTGTTTGCAGGGGTGGCAACCGGCAGGGATCCAGCCAGAGAGCTGAGAACCAACAGGGAGCCTTGGGAGCTGTAGTTCCTTGTTAGCTCCCTGCCTATAGAGCCAGCCCTGGAGCAGGGAAAGAACTACATTTCCCAGCATTCCCTTGGCCGCTATCAACAGGAAAGGGAGGGGAAGGGAGTATGGTAGCTGAAACCTCATGCTGCAGCTTGCTGTGAATGGAGAGCTCACTGCTAGAGCGGGGTGGCACTGTGAATGGGGAACAAGTGTGCCCAAGGAGTAGAAGGCTTTCTCCCAGATAACCCCTTCAGAAGACATCCCCAGACTGGATTAGGGATACTGGTGTGATCTCACCTTGCAGCCCCCAAAGACGGAATTGTGTGGACTAAATGGACAGTGCCCTCTCTATCTGAAGCCAAGCAAGGGAGGTATGTGGATCCCACTAGAATTTAAAATGAAAAGTAAGGGAGGGGAGGCTCTGGATCTAGACAGCTTTAGATACAGTACCAGGCACATAGGAGGATTTCCACTTCTGAGCCATGGAAGCAGAAATTTACTTTTCCTTTCCAGATTTAGCTAATATTCAGAAAGGGAATCTAGCACCTGCCTTCCAGATTTGAACACCTCAAAATTCAGGAGTGCTCAAGCTCAATTTGGGCAGCTGTTACTTCATTTCTCCCCAATCAAATATACTGATCCACTGTAATTTGCTGTAAAAAAAGTAGGATAAAATTGAGCAAGAAATGCCTCCCAGTGGTTTTTAGGACTGGAATTGCTATTTTCAACAGCCATTGCCCCTTTTTTCTTTTTTAGTTTTATTTCTTTAAAAGGAAGACAGTGATATTGCATTGGCAAATTCCCCATAGAAACAAAGAGTGGAACAAAAGAATAATAAAGGCACCTCGACTTTTCCTCATTTATGGAGGACAGTCTTATCCAGATATCCTCCAGTCACACAAGCTGAAAATTGTTCCACTTTACTGCAGTTCTGTAACCATATGGGAACCAACAGGGCCGGCTCTAACTTTTTTGCTGCCCCAAGCAGCAAAAAAAAAGTGCCGCCCCGCCGAGC